AGCTGCATGTGGAGGTGGTGATGGCCACGTCTCTGAAGCAGGTGACTCTATAGGTGTCGCTGGCACAGGTGGTGTTGGTAAGTCGGTTGGTGTTGCAGGGTCGCATTCAGGCACTACTGTAATATGCTGTGCTTGTGAAACCATTGAGACATTCATATTTCCATTTCCATTTCCATTCCTATTAATATTGTCTGTTTTCTCCGCAAATACAGAGTCGTCATAGCTCTTATTGCCATTTTTGACAGAATGGTCCGAGTCTGTTTTGTCTTTGCAGTCTATGTGTTCTAGTATATCCAATGGATCCTCGGACTGTTCGTTTTTATTTTCTTGATCAGCTTGCCATTGTAATTCTTTTTCCATTTGACACAGATCTCCAAGTAATGCATCCAAGTCTACATCCTGCGTATCTGTAAAAATAAAACATAGCAAAACTGTAAATACCTTGCCTGAAGAAATTTCAAAATATTTTTTTATAAATTTCTTGTATGTAGTCTCACTTATGAATTTAGATAACAAGCTCTATTGATGTTGTACACATTTACATAGATTTAATTTAGCGAATTTTACATATCAGCAAAAATAGCTAAATTAAAACCCATTGAATAATCAATCTACGGCACCCCATACACCAGTACCTTACAAAATGTAAAACCTACACCCATATTTATATAAAGTTTCATAACTCATGTATATAAATATTGTGGGGTTAAAACCAAAACACAGTATGATAATCTATATATAAATGGGTTATAATATATTCTAAATATTGTTAAAGACACATAGCACATACAAGAGGTTCACAACACTGTATAAAGATAAAATAACTCAAAAACCGCTTTAGGGTGTCGACTGGTACAAGTAACGGACATGATGCATACCTGGAGACACACAACTACAGTCAAACCTGTGTATAACGACCACTAAAGGAACTTCATTAAAATGGTCTTTATATACGGGTGGTCTTTATATGGAGATTGAATTATTTTTTCGTATGAAATAGCTGATCAGGAACTATAGAGATGGTGCTTTTGCAACAAAACATTTGAGTTAATCATAATCAAACAAGTTTGACTAGAATAAACAGAGTGATTATAATTTGGGTCTCTTAACAAAGGCATACATGTATCTGCAAAAATATTGCTCGAAAGATGGTCATATACAAATGTAGGGCAGGTGGTCTTTATACAAAGGTTGTTCATACATTATTCCTTGGAACTGCCTAAAAGTGGTCACTATAGGCAGGTGGTCTTTATATAGAGGTGGTTATCATTACTAACACATGTTTAATGTATTTTTGTTTTATACATTTATTTGCTACACTTTACATAAATGACAGAGGTGTGTCTATGTGGTTAGAACAAAGCATATCCAGTAATGCAATAGGCAATTTCTGTTCACCTTTAGATCCTGCGTTATGCATGAAATTAAATGTAAAAACAAGACAAAAGTCAAAGGTCATAGTGTGATAGTGACGTAAAAACATTGTGTGAGATTCGATAAACGTGTACCGGTAAGTAATCTTTGGGTATAATCAAAGAGAAATGTTTGCAGCAGACAATAGAACCACATTGTTTGTGCATTACATGACATCTCGCAGTGAATTGAAAATTACTTATTTTTCTTTTATATGTGTTTCCATGGTGAAGCAATTCTAATGAAGCAAATATAGTACCGTTTTAACCAAAAATAATATTTATAACTAAGATCCCAAAAACGAGAATCATTTCATCAACATGCCCCATTAGATACATGCTCCCTTTGACTATACCTTGTCTGTAATGAAATTCATTGAAGATGACATAGTCCCTGTAATTTTAGTGTATTTGTCATTTTGAAATCATGTACAATGAAGTCACTGGCATAAAGCTTTAAATGCAAGTTTCTCACTTGAAATCAATTGAAAATATTATGCATCTTTAACCTGCATTCAAATAACTTTTGTCATCATCGTAAGCAATTAGTAATATACCCTGCTCTTAACAAAAATGACGCCAAAACAAACGACAGACATTCTATCCCAATACCTTGTAACCTGTGTTATCTTTACTAACAAGGTAAAAACTGTTGAAAGCATGTACTGTAAACCGTTTTATTTTAGCCACTATCAATTTTAATGATTTGATATTCCCCCCGACATTCATGACAAAATTCCACTGAAGTCACTTTGATTTTCTGACTCTCCAGTGAAAGGCACTGTGAGTTACACACTACTCACTGTCTTAAATATCACAAATGAAATGTCCATGACAACAAAATTCTATGGTTTTTCCTGACTGGTGAAATTCACTAACATTTGTCAAAATTAAAGCGGTTGACAGTACATTACATTCAATATGCATGCAAAGTTGTGTGAAATTCAAACCATTGGAAAACACTGTTATAAAACATTATTTATGTATACATAGCAAGGTAATTTATTAAGCCATGTTGTAATATAAAACAAGATACCATTACCATAACCAATAGATTTAAGGTCTATGTAATTCAACGAAAAATGTTTGTTGACACTTAAACAAATTGCTTGGAGAGGTATGTCTATGTTGGTTTTCCTTTCATTTTCCACAATATTGTGAAACCAGAAAAAAATCATTTTTGTTGATAGAACCAACAATTTTGGGTTTATGTAAGCATGGTAATGGTTTATGTACCTATCGGTATTTCAAAACCACCATGTGATTTACATACAATATAGTTGCAATACAAGGTTGCTGAGAAATGGGAGCAGTTCCTTGACGGTGTTGTGAGTTGGAGGAGATCTGAAAGCTATACCTACGGTGCTAATCAATTAGACAAGCTGGAAGAAGTGGAATGTTAAGCATAGGCAAAAAGATGGATTTTGGGTTTATTATGAGAAGAACAAGCAACATTGTTGTTGTTACCTTGGTGAGGATGAGGTTGCATCTGTTGCATCCTTGCTGCGAGTGAAAAAGATGACAACAAGAGAAAGAGAGAAAGGATGTTGTAAAAGATGAGAAAGAGTATAGTTGTTATTTGAAAAACTGTATAAACTATTAGAAATAGAGATAATAAACATTATCAGAGAAAGATTTGAAGTCAAGTGTGCAGATATGACATCCATGTATTTGCCATGCCAACTCCTACATACATTGTATGGATGATAATATAAAAAGAATGTACATGAATGTAGAGAAACCTCCACTTCTATGTCTGTGTATCCACTGTAAACATAGTTTAAGTTACTGCATGCCACAGAATATTATAATAGTAAAAAAGATAAGACTACAATGTATATATCACATAATTTCAGAAAAAAATAATGTGCATCTACGACTCAATCATACCGAGTTGACCCGACTAAACTAAAATTGACCGATCCTAGTCACCTCTGAGAAACAGTAGAGAAAATGTTTAGGCAATGTATATCAGAGAAATGAACACATGCATACACGGATGAATAAAACCAAATTAATAAAATATGTAATAAAATAAAATATTTTCAGAATTCATCCAAACAGGGACTAATTATACTAAACCACTCAGACATGCAATCAGACATAATTGATTGAACTGGAAGTAATAAAACAAAAACAGAAACACAAGCCTAGGAAATAAAATAATAAGAACATAGTGATCGATAATTGAGTCATACAGAGGACTACAGCCAGGAGACATTACCTTCTAGATTGGCCATGGAGAATCGAAAATTATCCAAATTACCGGATGTCGGTGTTGGTGGTGGTGGACTTATGGGAACAATGGGTATGTTGGTTTCAATTCCATTTCCATCAAGTTGCTGTAAATAATGTAAAGAATATATTCAGTCAGAACAATGACAAGATAGGATTTAATTTGATTTGTCAAGAAAACATGCATGCATACATTTGGAGTGTAAGACTGTGATGATTTGAGGCTGTGATGTAAGTTTTAATACTGTAGTCATTTGCATAATGATATAGATACATTGTATAGAACATCTCATGAAGACTTGGGGCTCAATTCCAGGCCTAGCAGTTGAGCAATAAACACCTTGGCTACAAGTGCTCCTCTCCAGTGCGTTATTTTCCTCCCGGATTTGGTGACCAGTTCTCACTTGGTTCACTCTACTCTGAGAAATTAGCTCTTAGTTCCCAAGGACATTAGGACATATTAGCCGTCAAACCTAAAAGATATCTACAAAATACCTTTCTTATAAAAATCTAGTGATGAGGCACTTCTATGATGTAAAAATCGTGAGTAAGCAATCATGTACAATAAGCAACAACTCTGTTTGGTTGTGAAACAAATAGACACTGTATTTGCAGCGCAGACGTTTATGTAAATTACACAGTGTGTGTTTTTATGGTCATACATGAAATAAGTAATTTCAATGATTCAGTATTCAACAAATGCAATTTTTTGTTAATAATTTAGGAGCAAATATGGTATGCATGTTTTAAGTGTTTGTGAAACATATGCTACCGCAATATCCAAAATTATTGATTGATGTATGGATATTATTATAGTTTATATATCAGAGTATAAAATGCAATGTTAAAATACAATTTTAATGACAAAATTGAGTTACTGTCTACTGCGAGTAATTTGCAAGGTTTCTCAGTACTCCTCATTTGCATACAAGTAGACCTTTACAATGTCACCAGCGGACATTGCTGCATAACGCAGACATAGTAGTGAAACTGTAACATGCTTCAGGTTTCAATTTCTCATCCTAATATAAACATCTACTAAAAATGAATATTATGCTATATTATTAATACAGTATAAACTACAGGAATTCAGATTCAGTTCTCATATAGTAATTTGTTACCTTTCATCGTGGCTTACAATTGTACATTTTTAGTTTCATTTCTATTTGTGCATAGCTTAGAGTGGAATCCATGTTCGGCATGAGAAAGTTGTCTGGTCATGATCACACAACGATAGCAATACTAATGTTTCACCAAAATGTGAACTTTACTCAATTTACTCACAACATAAATGCAGCTACAGACGTGATGTGCTTGGAGGCGAATAAATCATGACATTTTCTTTGTAAACACAAAAGATTACTTAAGATTGGGAGACTTCAGCAAGTATGGTCACCATTTTTAAAGGTCAACCTTGAGTTTATTGGCATCATATACTGTATGAATGCATTCAATAATCTGATAAATAAATGCATGCATTTTATTGATCTATCACTTGACTCATAATTGGTGCGTGAGACTATAGGATTTGATGCATAAAATGTTATTTCTAATTGGATCTAACAAACTGTTAAAATAATTGTAAACATGACTGTAAACTTTGCTCTGATATTGAATTTATTGTACAATGTATACTGTAGTGTAATGTTATCACTTGATTAAGGCTTGATTTTGCCTGGACCAAATAAAATTTTAAATGTTAGGACAATTAGAACGAAAACACTTACTTGAAAGTGCTTTTCATTTTGAATAACTTAGCTGCATTTATTACACTACATATATTAAATAACATTTCAAAAGTTTCAAGCAAATTTTTGTCAACAATATGACCTTAATGGCTAATTCATACAGAATACCATGAAATATTTAGATTCTCCTTGCAATAACCTTATTTCTTGTACAGAATAAAAATATTGTTACCTTGGTCATAGTTTCCAATTCTCCTAACCATGTTCCCAACAACTTATCCAAATCTTGTTCCTGATCACTGTCCATTTCAGCGTCTATATCATCCGAATGGTCATCACTTAGGTATTCAACTGTTGAAGCATTTGCCCTAAAAATATAAATAAATATGAGAATACACTATTATATCAGTGCACATATGGATGTGTGGAATTTAAAACATGTACCGGGTATGGATCGACATGTTATACAAAATACAGTGTGTTAGCACTTGCACATGTGAATAAAAAAAAATTCTGAGACAACAGTGACATCAAATGCCTGAAACTGCTGCCTGGCACAGAAATATAGATCAGAAATTAACAATGACATGATTAAAAAGTACAATGGCTGCTATTAAAGCACATAATTGAGAACACTATATACTTAGAGATGTCAATAACACCTCGTAGTATGGGACCCACACTAATCTTGATATTAAGGTTAAAACAGGAATCAAGTACAAGGTGAAACATACTGCATTATGCAACTACGTGTTTGAAATCTCTCAAATCATTTTCAAAAAAAAAAGCAAAATAACACCTAGGCATATTTAATCAACAATACTGTCAGATGCACACAGTTGCCAAAAGATAAAACAAGCAGCCTATTGGCTGAGATAGCTCCGCTGTTAGCAATGCACATTTCAATTAAAGAACTGAAGACATCATTAGAAAATGAACAATATGAATAGTATCAAAGCAATCGGACTTACAGTTTTTAACAAGAAGTCGAAAATATCACTTTTTACCAAAAATTACAAAAATATTCACCAAAATAAATTAATTAGAGAATTGAAGATATCATCACAAAACGAACAAATCTGAGAGAGGTCCACATGTAGTACCTATATATGTAATATCAAAGCAATTGGACTTGCGGTTTTTAACAAGAAATCAAAAATATCACTTTTTACCAAAAATGACAAAAATTATCACCAAAATTAGAGAATTGAAGATATCATCACGAAATAAACAAATCTGAGAGAGGTCCACATGTAGTACCTATATATGTAGTATCAAAGCAATTGGACTTGCGGTTTTTAACAAGAAGTTGAAAATATCACTTTTTACCAAAAATGACAAAAATATTCACCAAAATTAGAGAATTGAAGATATCATCACAAAATGAACAAATCTGAGAAAGGTCCACATGTAGTACCTATATATGTAATATCAAAGAATTGTTGGGTTTTTAACAAGATCAAAATATCACTTTTTACCAAAAATGACAAAATTATCACCAA